CGTGGCGTGGACTTGCGGCCATGTGGACAGTGACTGACATGAAGGACTGGCTGCGCCTCAGGCAGTGTACCCACAGCAGTCCGGTTTGCCGGTGAGCCCCGGCACTTTGGTCTGTGGGTTTGGAGCAAGTGCCTTGCCCTTCCGAGCCTCGGCCTGCTGACCTGTAAAATGGGGCATAGCCCCTCCCAAGCCAGTGGCGCTTCTGAGTCCTTGGCCTGACCGGCTGCTGTGGGGCCCCTTCCCCTTCCAGCTGAGCTGCTGGCTGAGCCAGCCTCGTGCCCACCCGTGCCCACCCCGTGCTTCCCTGAGGCCTGGCGGCTGGCGGGAGCTGGAGGGGGCCCACCAGCCACGCCTCTTGAGCAGTTGACAAGGAACAGTTGAGGTTTCCATGGAAACTAGGAAACAACACAAATAAATCTGAGATTTTGTAATCGCAGCTCTCCTTGAGTAAGCAAAGAAACATGATGAAATTGTAAATCTAACTCGAGCCACTGGAAGTTGGTTTTTCTCCCACAGTCTTGAGGACCCCCCACCCCAGAAAGTGGAGCTCGAGAAGGCAGGAAAGTAGGGGGCTCGGTGTTCTGAGCCTATGCTCCTTGTTGAACGCCCCCAGGCGTTTCCCGACAGGCAGGACTCTGAGGGCCACGGGCGCAGACCCTGGGCTTCCCTGGACAGGTGACACGCCGGAAATGCTGACCAGGCGTGGCCATTTACCCAGCGTGTGTGGGGCAGGCGGTCTAGGTCCCCTGGGAGCACAGCCTGAGACGAGGGTTTGGGTTTTGTGATTCAGGACGGCCGGGGAAGAACAGGCCACAGTGGCCTCGGCTGGAGTCACACTGCGGCCTGGTCCCTGGGGGTGCTCTGTGGTGTGCACTGCACCCCCAGGTGGGCCCAGCCTGAGGCCAGGGCCCTTTTGTACCTCGCTGTGTTGTGGTTGGGGCGGGAGCCACCCCCAGGGGCGCACTGACTGAAGGAACTGTCCTTTGAAGGGCACCGGTGAGCCAGCCAACGCCCGGCTGCTGGGGAAGGGTGCGGTGGCCACAAGGTGGCTCTGCATTGCAGCATCTGTTCCCATGTCGCAGATGAAGAAACCGAGGCTCAGAGACATCAAGGGGCCAGTGCAGGTCCCACAGCACGGCCGGTGGTGCAGGGCCGGGCCCNGACCCTCCTGACCCCGAGGCTACTGCCAGCGCAGACCACCCCGACGGTCGCCCTGACAGTCATAGAACCCCGGACGCCGAGGCCAGGCAGGCGCCTGAGGCCCAGGCTGAAGGACTGTGGCTGTCCGGATTTCGCCCCCGAGAAAAAGCCGAGCACGTGCGGAACTGTGCCGCCCTCCCTCGAGACTTTGTTGATCAGGTGGTGTTACAAGTGGCAAATCTGTTGTTGGGTGGAAAGCAGTTAAACCCAAGAAGCTCACACAGCGGGAGTTTGAAGCCGTGGAACCGAGGAGGTAACCGTGCACCCCCGTGGGACTTGCTGGGCTTTGGGCGGCGACTGGGTCTCCCTTATAACCAGCTTAAAAGCGTGTGGCCATTTTTAATTAAATATATTTCAAAGAGACAGGGATAACAGGCTCCTTGCAAGCTCATTCTTACATTTCCTTACACATACTGTGGACATGCAGGGCCTCAGCTGCCTCCAGGCAGGAGGCAGAGCGCAGGGTGGTAACGCCGGGCCCTTAACCTTGACAGACGTTCAGGTCTCAGGGTCTGCAGCTGCTTGTCTCCAGTCTGTAGAAAGTATCCAAACAGAAAACAGGTTACTGAATGCCAAAAAGGGCCACTGTCTTCTGGAATATACCAGGGATGCCCAAAAAAGGTGCGCGTCTTAAGAGATGTTATCTATGTGTTACTTTCCAAAGTCGAGTTATGGTAGCAATGTGCAATATGACCTTTGCTCAAAAGATGGCGTTCATCAAATGAAGGCTACCGTCATTCATTGTGTTACAACTTTAATACAGGTTTTTCCTTACTTCAAATGTATGTGCATTTTTTTGGCACCCTCCATGTGTTGTGATTTGATAATTCTCTGAAATCCCTCAAATATCAAATCAGACAGGAGAAAAGGGAGGACTTTGTGTGTGATTGTTCACATAGGAGGGATGATGTGCTGAAACAGTGGCGGTCCAAGCCGCGAGGGGTGGATGTGTGAGTCCTGATGCTTTTTATAAAGCTGCGGGGCGTGTTGCAGTCCCAGGCTGCTGGGCAAGGGCCTGTGTCCTTCCTGGTCCACTTCCCGGCGGGAACGGCGGCCGGCGGCCAGGGGGCGCTGTGGAGCTGTCTGCGTTTGGGCTGAGCCAGAGCCTTGCCTCCGAGTCTTTGGGTCACTGGAAGCAATCGGGGGACTCCTCCCTTTTGCTGTCAGGGTCTGCGCCTGGCTGTCCTGTGGGTGGCACGGGCCAGGGAGGCCTCAGCAGTGGGTCCTGCCCCACCCTGAGCCTGGTCTTCCTCAGCCGGATTGTTGGCGTCCTGGTTTGTCCTCCTCATTCCTCCCCTCCCCTCTCTGGTGGCCTCGTGACGTGGCAGCCCCTTCTCCAGGAATCCCCTGACCCTGTTAGCTGATCAGGAGAGCCTCTGGGGACCCAGCGGCAGCCCTGGCTCGGGTGGCTGACTAACGGCAGGCAGCCCCGAGATGCCATGGGGTGTCCTGTGAGAAGCCGCCCCACCTCCTAGGTGTGCTCTGCTGAGGCTGAAAGGCCAGAGCAGAGCGGAAGGCCAGCTGGATGGGGCTCCTGCGTGGCCTCAGCACAGAGCCCACGGCAGGCAGGGGGCCTCAGAGTCCAGAGACCTTCAGGTGAATCTGAAAACGTGGAGTGTGACCGTTCACTTCCAGAGCGGCTCTTGCCTCCACCGGGTCCTTCAGGAACAATGGAGCACCGGGGGTGCCCGTCTGTGCCTGGATGGGACACCCTTTAGTGAGCAAAGCCTGGCTCTTCCTCGGCTCAGAGGTAGATAGTGGGGGCTGATGACCATTTCTCAGGCCTGCCCCCCATTGGAGATACCTGGGAACGGGGGCACTGTCTTCCCCAGGTTGGTCTCTGTCGGTCCGGGCTGGTCGGAGGCGCTCCCGCTGCCCCACCGTCTGGGGGAGGCTCCGGTGAGGGGGGTGCCCTTAGCCTCTCAGCCACCTGCTCCCACCCACAGGGGGACTTGCCCTCTTTGGTCACTGGAATTAGTGACCCCCTACCCAGCCTGCCCTCAGGCATGGGACCCTCCATGTTCCCAGGACCTGCATGACATGTGAGTTCGTCTGTCCTTAGGACCTAACTGATCGCAGGCCTGGGGTCTGCCCTCTGTAAGGCATGGCTGAGGGGACACTGGGAGGGAGCAGTCCCTGGTCCTGCCAGTGGGTCAAGGCACACAGAGCACAGGATGAGGGACAGGTTGCAGGGCGTGAGTCAGCGCCATGGAGCTCATGGGGGCCAGGACCCGGGAGTGTGGGGACGGCTTTCTGGGCCGGTGTTTAATTTTTTCCTCAAACATCCTGGGTCCCCTCAGAACGGGTTTGAGGAAGCTGAGAGGCAGACCTTGAAGGTCAGCTGGGCTTCGACAGGCTGGATTGTAGCAGCCACTATGTGGACAGCCGCCTGCACTGGGGTCTCCAGGCCTGGGCCGCACAGACCCTTTGAGTCTGGGAGGCTCGCCCGCAGGGGTGGGGGTGGGGGGGCTGTGGGTAAGACACGAAGCGCAGGGCCTGGCAGGTGCAGAGGTTTGGGCTTCCCAGGTGGTGATGGCTGCCCGCCGAGTTCCAGCTGTTGCGAGGTGTGCACTAAGTTACATTACCTTTAAATTAAATGTTTGTGGTCCCTCCTGCTGATATACATAAGAGGTTTGAATTTATAAAACTGGAATTGTTTTTGTGCCTATTGAACATGTTCATAACAGCCATTTTGTTGTTTGGGGGAAAACCCCGTTTTCAACAGAGAGCCTATCCTTGGCTGAAGTAGCCGGCAAGCTGGACAGGGAGACCCTGCAGAGACTGAAGCGGGAATGTGGCGGCTTGCAGACGCTGCTGAAAAACAGCCATCAGGTGTTTGAAGGTAAGCGGATTAAACCTTGAAATGTGCTTCTTTCTCAGATAGGTGGAAACACGCTCCCTGTGCCACCCCACACCCACCTTCCTTCCACCCCGCCCCCGCAGCTTCTGCGGGAGGGCCTGACCCCTCCGTCCCTCCCGCAGGGCTTGCCCGCTTGTATTTCTGCATCACTCATCGTGCGCTGTGCCCGCTTGCCCAGGGACCCCTGCTTCCTCCCCACCCTGGTGCCCTGGCCTCCCTGATAGGAGCCCAAGTGTCGTCTCCTCCGCGAAACCACCTTCCCGTCAGCCCCCACCCAGCCCTGCCTCCCCTGAGCCCCCAAGTCCCACATGTGCCTCTGTCACATGTCCTCCTGCCCTGTCTCATCGCCACTCCAACTAAACCGGGTGCTCCCCATGGGCGGGGCCAGGTCTGCAGCCCGAGCTCACTGCTGTGGTGCTCAGCAGGGGGACAGGTGAATGACACACACCTGACCCTCCTCACGGCAGGGAGACGGGAAAACATTGGGTCCCAGGGTTCTGGCCCATGAGGGGCCATCTGTGGGCAGGGCTCTCCCCGAGCACAATGAGATGACAGCCTCTCTGTCCCTGTCCTCAGGATATGGCACACCAGGTGGTGGGTCCAGCACAGCAGGACAGGTGTCTTGGTCAGGGTCTGTGTGGGGAAGAAGGTGGCTGGGGGCCTTGCCAGAGGTGAGGGAAGCCAGCCTAGAAGCACGGAATTGAAGTCTGCCCTGAGCGTACTGGCATGTGCTAGGCCCAGCCCGAGGGGTATGTGCACAGCCTGGGCCCTACGGCCTTGTCTGGGGATGTGGACAGCTGTCTGAGCCCCAGGATTTGGGCTGATGCCCCTCCCTCCACCTTTGTGTTCTTCCTGAGGAGGGCGGTGGGGAAGGAGGCCTCGACTTGGTGACATGGCTGATGGAGGCATGTCTGTCCACTCCCTCAGTCTGCAAACTTCCTAAGGAGGTTGAGTGCTGCCA